AAAATCCCGAGAGGGATTACTTTCTCTTCGTCGAATTAATAAGAATTAGTTAGATTTTACATTTAAGCGTATTGCGAATCAATATATCTATTATTATTTACAGATATTTCGATTTACTTGAAACTATACCTGTATAATCTACAGAGTCATACCTCCATCCAATGTTAATGATATGTCGGTAAGTGTTCTATAATACACTTACTATAATTAATGAAGTATTTCATATGCAAAATGTACAAATACTTTCGTGAGTCACTGTATATCTTTCTCATCGAGAATACGCAAACAATTTGTCCTGTTTGCTGCGATCTTACGTTAGTTTCGATTTTTCGACAAAAAAGCAAGAGCTTCAAGCCTTTATTTGCTCGTCGGTCTCTGTATCTCTAATATACATGCAAGGGTAGACTCGCACACTCTCATCTTTTTGACGTGGGTCGCGTAAAAAAAGATTCCTGATAATAAGGGTCGTCTAACTTGCGAGAATGAGACGTCTACCTCGAAATACTCCTTCTCTTTTTTTTTTTTTTTTTTTTTTTTTTTAAGAAAAGAGAGAGAGAAAGATAAGACTAGGGTTAGAAATTTTATGGAGCCTCTCATAGTAGACGGCAACACCTTACCGTTTCCAATCTTTCTTACATTTTTTTCTTCTTTTTTCACATTTTGCGCCAAGATTACCAATGATATAGCCAACCAAGAAAATCCTTAAAAAAGGCAACGATTCACGGCAATCGTTACATATTTACTATGATACGATTCTCTGAGACGAACCTCTCAATTTTTCCATCTCTTTTCAAACCTTAGTTCCTTAGTTTATTTTTTTTCTTTTTTCTTTTTTCCTTTTTTTTTTTGTTGTTGTTGATTATAAGATTTTACCTTTAAATCCGTCTTAAGTTAATAAGTAAGTTTCTCCAAATTTGTTCGAGTTAGTGCAAGTGTAATACCGTTAGATAATCTAACTTGCTACGAAAGAAGATAAACTAAACTTAAAGCGAAATGTATAAAGTTAAAGAATATACTAAAATAAAGTAATAGTTTGATTAAAGAGAGACAGAAAGGAAAGGAGAGAAAAAGAAACTCGCGCGTACTTATATACTAAAGTAAATACATATATGTACCTACTACGACTCTTCTTTTTTTTGTTTATTTTTTTTCTCTTTTTCTCTCAAGGAGATTTTGCGGGAAAAACACGAAAGAACAGAGAAAAGGAATAGTTCGCTCGCATCCTCTGTATCGCATTTGGTAAAAGGAATTTAAGTGAGAAAACATTCACGTACGGTAGGTGAGATCAAAAGACGTAGAAATTCGTTTGCACTCTCCCTATTTTGAAAAGAGTAGAAACCGCGACGGCCGCATAAGTCGATTCGTAAGAATTTGCATGAGGCGAGGACGTTGCGTTTTAGCAACAGAACTAAGTAGATTCAGTGGCCCCAATCTTAAAGTTCGTCTCTTGAAAAGCTTTACTTCTATACCGTTTCTTTACAATGTTCTTTTTCTTCCATTACTGTTTATCCTTATCTTTCCTTTTCTACAAATAAGTACAGGTAACCCTTTTATAACACGGTAGATAGGTTCCTAGAAAATGCCTTGTTGTGTGAAACCGTGTTATATGAGATCCACAGTTCATTATTCCTTTAAGTCGTTATTTTCAAGTTATTTGATTTTGAAATATGTTAAACGAAATCATGTTATCCAGTGCTGTAAAAGTACAAAATGTTGTACAAAGGTTTTCGCAATATATGAATCTTGTTATAGGATGCCGTGTTGTAGGAGGGTTACCTGTAACTAAATAAAATGACATGATTATTGCCATCATCGCGATTATTATTCGTTCGTTTGTCTTTCGGGCAAGGCAGCATACTTTCTCGATGCGTATTTACCTAATGTAAAAAAAGAGATAGAGAGAGAAAGAAGGTTTTAGATTTACGATGTTATTACACGGTTTCTTGAGGTGTAGTTACCGTTAGAGAGCTCGCAACCTGGAATTACTTCGGAAGATTCAAAAGGTAGAAAATTAAAGCAAGTTGCGGGTTAACACCTCTTAGTCTCTAATCTCTCTCTCCCTCTCTCTCTCTCTCTCTCTCTCTCTCTCTCTCTAGTCGTAAACTCTCTTCGTGTTGCGATAGTTTGTTCCGATTTCTTTCGAGTCTCGTCGATGGTCAAAGGACAAAATATCTTGACTACTTTACTTGTGAGCAAACTCATTGACATTTGTTTCACTTAAATAAAGCAACATTTTCAATAAACGTTACGGAATCTATCCTTATTTGCGTAAATATTAAATATCTACTAGAAATTTCATATAGAATAGCAAGTAGCAAGTCATTTGCACGACTGTTGGATTCAAATAGCCAAGAAGGAAAATTTTATTTTCCAAGGAAATTCAAAACTCTGACGTAAAATGCTTGCAAATTCTCTGTTAGAAAGTCGACGTATCGAGTACCGTTTACCAAGGAAAAGTCAGCATTTCTTCCTCTTGCAATTTTATCAGCACAACTTTTTACCTTCGACGAAGACAAGATTATCGGCTTAAAAAATCTCTCGAAGAGAGATTAGGACATCTTACTTGTTGATTGTTTCCGAGTAAAAATTGGCCAGAATGCTCGGATTCGCGTCGTTAGGGATAGGCGGGGGAAGGGGGGTCTATAATTGAAAAGAGAAAGAAAAAAAAAAAAAAAAAAAGAGGAGAGAAAAAATAAAGATATAATTGTACAGACGAATATGTAGTTTCCTACATTTACCTTCGATCTGTTATAAAAGTAAAAGGCGTSGACAACTGCAGTTCAAAAAAAGGAAAAAAATAAAAAAAAAAAAAAAAAAAAAGAGAGGAGAGAATACGTATCTGTATCCGGTGGATGGAAAGTTGAAAGTTTCGTTAGCGAATGAATTCGTTTTTAGAGAAGACTCTATTCCCAGTCGTACATGAGCTCGCTCGCGCGCGCAATAAAAAGGATAACGGCGTTTCGCTGCCGTAGATGCAGTTGCATGCTAAGGAATGTAATTTCTATGCAAACGCATGGAGAATCTCGTTGTTAATTTCCCTACCAAACGAAGCGTAGCGTCGTCGTTCCTAAGATAAGCTCTCGTTATGCCAGCCATCTCGTTTCAACTCTTTCTTAGGTGACTCGTCCTATCTAAGAAAAGCTCGAGGCGTTCTATTGTCTTCCTCTCGCGACCATATTTACACGTTATGTTGTCCTTATAATTAATCGCTTTCCGCCAACGATTCTAAGGGATACTCGAGTGGCCCACTTTTCACGTTTCACCTTTGACGTTTATGTTTCATCGAAACGCTATACCTACTAGAAAATACGTATTTACGTCTTATCCTCCGGACAAGATTTCCTCGGAAAATATTCTGTCATAAATCTTTACGTTTATTCGAGTCTCGCGTATAAGTACGCAAAGTATCCATTTTACTCGGGCATTCGCGATAACTGTTGACATTCGCGATACTCGCTAAATCGTATGTAATATTTCTATCGCTAGGGAGAGATGGAGAGAGAGAGAGAGAGAGAGAAAGGGAGCGAGTTTTCGACAAGCGTAAACGAAAACGATCATTCCCGCTCTTTCGCAATATCTCTCTCCCTTTCCGGACATCTTTATCCTCCGAAGAGAAATTCCGAGCACTTTGTTATCCTCGGTGAGTGTCTGCTACTCAATTAAGATCCTGTGGATGAGAAATAAAAGCGTCCTGCTGTGTCCTCCAAACGATAACTACAAGAGCAAACTCGAGTACACCCCGGGATCTTGAGGTATCCTCGTGAAAAAGCAACCAATTATTTAGAATAATGTATACTAGTTTTTTTCCTAAAGTTTCATATTTTGGGCGGTTTTCTTAACGAAGATCTTTCACAGTCAGTATTTTCTCTGAAATTTAATTAGCTAGTTTTTTGTTTGAAACACCCTGCACAAAGTAATATTACGAAGGGAAAACTCTTTGACCATATTGCGAGCTGTCACCCTTTCGTATTATCTTTCCTTTCGACTCGTCGCCATTAATGGTGTCGGTGCAAAAGAGACCATCCCAAATTTTTCACTTCTCGTTCGCCAAGGTACTTTCCGTTACTACCGTGATCAATTCTTCAGAATCGAAATTAAAGAGAAAGAGGTTATAACTTCTTCGCGTTCCACGTGCCATCAAATGAAAGAACTAAATCAACACGTCACGACGAGTCATTAATCATGTTCATTTTGAACAACGTATTGCCGTATATATTGAGAATAATATAAAAAGCGCAAGTTCGATCAAAAGTAGAAAAATAGCTTAAATTTTATTGTAATTTGACGGAGATATTATATTCGGTCAAACGCTCGATTTCCATTACGTATTTTATAATATTATTTGAAAAACAAGTTTACTCACACGAAACAATGGTGAAGTCGTTGTTAAGCACCTATTTGAGGATTTGTCAAAGGGAAAAATCCTCGAAGGACATCGTTTCGCTACGAGATATTATAATAGATAGAACGCTTGACAAATACTTGCTGCGGCTAACTTTGCCAAAAATTGGAATAAATTAAAGGCATTATATATATAGGAGAGCGTGATTTGTAAAATGTCGAGATACGATACCGGAGTAGACCGTTCTATCTTGACGAGACGTTTTTGAAATATTGTTCTTACACTTTCTTACTTACTCGCCTTACGCGAGTCGACGACGAATACGAGTTGTTTAATGCCTTAGGAGACCGGATTCATTTTGTTAGACATCTTTGATTATGTTCTTATTTGTATTTATTTAACACTAAGCTGAGAGAAGAAATTAATTAGATCGTAAAAATGATCTTTTATTCGAATGCAGTTATAGTTAGGATTCAATTAGTTTTTAAAGTTCGCTCAACTTTATCTCGGGATCGCATTCCTCGCTTTCTCGAATCTTCGTCTCTTTTCTTTAGCTTTCTCCTTATCGTCTTACGCGTGAGTCGCTCGAGTGAGAGATAATGAAATAACGATAACAAATGGAAACCGTTTAAATAATATTTTCGTGGATTTGTTTCAGGTTATTCCGTGGCGGCTTTGCTCGCAATCCTTTTCTGCATTCCATTTGCGTTCAGAGTTTTCATTCATAAAGAGACGGGACAGTGGGACAACTGGCCGCAAGCTTTTTATCATGCACACCTCGAACTCTTTCTTGGAAACGGATGTCTTGGTAATATTATTAACGATTTGTCGAATATATTTTGTATTTATTTCTAACTCTTTTTGTCTACGTACAACAGGTGTCGGAGTGATGATGTTACTGGCATTGACGGTTGAGCGTTACGTGAGCGTTTGCCATCCAGGACAACACACGCGACCACTTTGCGGACCGCCGCATTTGACTGTGGCTCTTATTCCTCTAGCCACCTTTCTGCTCTATCTACCCAGTATATTTCGTAGCGAAGTAACTACTTGCCTTTTGGCTCCTGGAGGATCTCTCATCTATCAAAAAAGAGAGAATACATCCTTTCTACATTCCCTTTTCTATCAGGTATGGATACATTATATTTTTACTTATTATACATCTACACGTTTCTACAGTTTTATAGAACCTAAGAACCTTACACCGCGTTATAATATGTAATGCAATACTTTGTTCAACTTTGTTCTCCTCTGTTCAGGTATATAAAATAGTACTGGAAGTAGTTTTCAAGATCGCGCCAACGATACTGCTAGCGGGTTTCAATCTGAGGATCATGGTGGTTTATAGAAGATCTTGCGAGAGACGTCGTCGTATGACTTTGTCAAGAACGGTGAGCAACGATGAAGATTCTAGAACGTTTGCTGAGGAACGAAGGTTGATACTTTTACTCGGTAGCACCAGTATACTTTTTCTGGTATGTGTCAGCCCGATGGTCATTCTTAACGTCACTCTGAGCGAGAATAACCTCAGTTATTTTTCTTATCAGGCGAGTTTTCTCTAAGAATAAATAATAAGTGTTAATTTTCAGCTATTCTCTCTTATTCTTTTTCTTCTTATTATCATTCGATTGCGTAGGTTTTTCGTGCGTTGGCCAATCTTCTGGAAGTCCTCAATTACTCTATCACTTTCTATATTTATTGTCTCTTTTCGGAGGACTTTCGAAATACCTTGATGCGTACGTTACAATGGCCCTGGCTGGTCAAAAGTGGACAAGAAGGACGAAGAGTACCTATGAAACGTTCGCCATTGGCAAGACCCACCACGACGACGACTCCGCCTACAACCGCTGTGCCAACGCCAGGTCATTTGACACGTGCCAGCGTCTAATGAAGAAAACAAGTGTTCGATTTGGCCGTTTAATCCGATGCCCGAAGAAACATTATCCTCCTTTCTTGGCGATTTAACAAAACTTAACGTTTAGGTATCCTCGCATATGCATTGCGCGACTAAAACATTTTTAAACAATATCGTACTTGCTCCTCGAACTCCATCATTTTTCTTCGGGTCTTTAGATAGTAAGTTTTTATATAAGAATAAACAAGAAAATCGACTGCCAAAGACGATAATGTATACTTTACGCAAACTTATTTCTCTCTTTTAACAAAGTTAGTAAGAGGAGAAATTAATGAATGGTACATAATCGTATTTAACTTTTTCCTTACTAAAGCTGTTTGCTATATACTCAAAATGACTATATTTTATAGTCACTTAACCAAATTCTGATTGAATAAAGAATCGTAGGTAAACATTAGATATATCGATAACTTCAATCAATGCTCTTTATTTGTCATTCATTAAATATTGATTTAATAGAAATTTGAAAAACTAACTAATGATTTATATAATACGACAAAGAATGAAATGTTACATTTTGTGATAAAATGAAATGTGACATTTTGCGATTAAACTGTCTCGAAAAATGGCGGTGTCTGGTGACGTGTACCCTCCGCCGCACAATGATCCCGAAAAAGTAGCCAAAACACCCAAAAAAGTTTTTTTTGTGACTTTTAACAGTGGGGATATGTTTAGTGGACACCGCGGAGTCTTTTTCAACTATTTACTATGAATAAATGCTTATGCACGCGCATAATTAATTATCAATTAAATTATCAATTAAAACTTGAACGTTGAGTGCACCGCATTTATGACTCGCTGCGCCCCCAAAATTATGGTCTCTATCAATCGCGCATAATACAGTTAATATTTGTCTGATTTTAAGATATAATTATGGAATTTTTACCTGACAGTTAGTACAATTTAATTATGTTTATCAAAATTTACATAAATAACAAATGTAATTGCAAATAAAGAGTATATTGCAACGTGTTTTTCGCCGATTCGATATTACAAATATCTATTTTAAAGAGCTAAAAGTTATCAAATTTGGTCGAATTATATACTTTAATTGGTATTAAATTGTTCATTGAACCATTTACCTAATAAATAAAAAAAACCTTCCCCCACAGCTTTTATTCAAGATTTTGTACGATAATGCAGAAACGTTCTTGCAAAGACTTTACACTTTATCCGCTACTTTGCGTAATTACAAATAAATGTAATTACAAATGAATATAATATAAGGATAATAAATAGATAATTCTACAGAAAAAACAGTTTTAAACATTAAAATTTCAAACAAAAATTCTTTTTTATCCAAGTTATCTTTGAATTTAAGTCCGCTATTTTGTTTTTCAAAAAAACATTTTCAAATTCGGGTTGATCATATGGAGCTCATTGAGGACATAAGCAAATAAGCACTTGACAAAAAAATACATGTTGCCAGTTGGCAACACTTTGCTAGAATTGCCATTGGTTTGTGAGCTGTTTCCTATACAGTTGTCACGAGATGGCGCCAGGACGGTTGCAGTTGTATCGTGTTCAATAATATTCAAAAATAATTAATTCACTGGGAAAAAATATTATATGAATATTTTTATTATAAACATATCAAAAAAGACTTATACAAAATATGTAACAAACTTAACAATAATCTTAAAGAGGAAAAAGGAAGTAGTGACTAGTGTTCACGTCTTTGGTCGCTGCTAGTGAGTACGCTTGTGTCTCGCTCGGTGGTTGGGACGGAAGAAAGCGAATAGCAGCGGTTGTTCATATACGTGGGGCTTTTTTAGTTATTTAGTTTCGCCACCAGGGACGTGACGGTAAGAATGCCAGAGGCGCCAAGCTTTGGCGTGACGGCTACACAGTTGGTATTATCAATGGAACCTATATACAAGGAGGATATTATAAATATGGGTACAATATTCACAATGACAGGATGATTTCTATTGCCATTAGAGAGCGCGTCTAGTCGCTTGGTCTGATTTTTAAAAACAGTAATTAAAACAAAAACATCAAAGAGAACTATTAATTTCATTTGTTTATTTATAAAATCACACGTACTTAAATCTAAACTTAAGAACATCACCGCCGCCCTCGTGGATAATTATCGTATTCGATATTCAGTCATTTTCAACAACACAAATTCGACGCAGCGCCTATCTCGATCGTCCTCCTTGTATATAGCTTCGTTGTAAGAACGCTGCCAAGGAACCTTAACAGCAGAAAAAAATGAATAAGTCTTCTTAATTACTCATTAAAATCTCAACCAAAATCAATAATTGCTCAATTTAATAATTGACTATTTAATTAGTTATTAATAATTGAAAATACGAAAATTTTTTTTCCTATTTCTAAGCAAAGCAACGAAGTTTGCAACAGCAGAAAAAAATGAATAAGTGCTCTTAACTGTTCACTATTTGCTCAACTTTATTTTATCAAATATTTTTTATTTATCGTTTATTAGTTGAAAATAATGATTACCTTGGAATAATTATGAAATGGCGACGTCATGAGTGGAAGATATGTTATACGCATGCGCAACCACAAATTCAAAGCGCCAGCGCACTTTGAAAAAAATGAAAGTAAAGTTGTTATACCAGCAGGGGATATGGCGGGCTAAAAATAATGGACATTTTTATTAAAAAGTGATGTGAATCCTTTCAAAAGCCTGTATTTGAGGATTATTGGGGATCGTAGATTAAGAATCTGAAATGATTATTTTGAAAATAAAAATAGATAAACAAAAACAAAATTAAAGATAACTTACAATTAGACAAAAAGATATGGTTGTTTTCAATTTTAATGTTTAAAAATGTTTTTCTTTTTAATTTTGCTATTTATTAGATAATATTATATTCATTTGTAATTACATAAAGTAGCGGACAAAGTGTAAAATCTGTACAAGTACGATTATTCATTATCGTACAAAATTGTGGACAAGAGCTAGCCTACATGTAAAAAATAACTGAGCACTATAAAAACCGCTGTTGTTTTTCTAATAAATTTAATATTTTCATAAATTGTCAAGTTTATATGAACAATGAAAAAAAGTGATAAGCAATTGTACATACCTACATATGTGGAAATAATTTGGTTCAAAACACGTTGGTAAATTTGTTTAAATGTATCATATCTGACATTTATATGTCATTATTTAAAATGATATTTTTCAAAGTTAATATCAACTTACACAATGTAACAAATCGCATGAAATCATAAGCATTTAAAGGTTACAGAATTTTTTTGTATATCATGCGCATAATGTACGTTCAAGTGTGATTTTTAGCAGATCCTGATTCAGTATTTAGGGCCAGTATATACTGGCCAATGACTAATGTAAGTAAAACAATGTAGATATTTTCACTATTCTAGTTCAAAACATTGGGTTTTCCCTAAATGAAACTATTTCTCTTTCACTCTCTGTTATGTTACACTTTCATAGAGCGATCATTTTTTCTTTTTTTTTAATAATATTTCCTAAATTGAAATGTTTACATTTCAAAACTTACCAGAACAAATAGTCAGTACGTATGGTCACCTTAAGCTTTTGGCACCTGTCAATTAGATAAGTCAAACCTGTCAAAAGATAGCAGGGAATATCCGATGGAAAATCTATTATCTAATGATAAATATATTATTTTCAATAAATATATAAGTAAAGAACGACGTAATATCTTCGATATGATAATCGACAAGTGATAATCTATCATATATCTATATGTACTGATTTCAATTATAAAAAAAGACGACAGAGGTCGTCATGTCCGCATGATCGTGTGATACAGAGGTTATCTATTTGATATTTCTTATTAAATACAATTCTGTCTTCTTCCAACTATTTATATATTATGCGTATATATGTATGCACAAAAAGGATATAACATGATGCAAGGTGAAACGAACAAAAGATCAATGGTAAAACTTGTATATATGTATTTTCAATATAGTATTTCTATTCTTTCTAATACAATAATAATGTATAATCTATTAATTAGAATTGGGGACCAACGTTTGAATTATCAGAAAAAGCATTGGAGGAGTTTCACAAATGTGTAGGAGGTCCAGAAGTAAAAAAGCAAAATTTATTTGGGTTTCTACTTGGTACTTGTCTCGGATCAGCTATACCAATACTGGCGAAACCGTTCAAAAAAATTTCTCTAGTTTTTCCTGTATTCGGAGGCATATACGGATTTATGATATCAAATTATTTAAGCAGTAAAGAATGTTTACTACAAGCCTTACAGACTGAAAACGATTCATCTAAGTTTGTTGTTATGTCTAGGTTTGTTACAATTCTTTCTTTCAAGTTTTTAAGTTATCGTCTAATGCTGTAAGTTTCTTCAAAAATACCTTCTTTTTATAATCAATCGTTTAAGGGAGCATAACTCTTCCCAATTAGAAAAACCATTTGAACTGAAAAGAGGATCTCAAATGGATATAGAAACTTTTCAACAAATAGATCAGCAAGAAGATTTTCCTTCTATTAATGCTGGTATGTAGAGACGATTCTCATTTTTATCAAAATGATTTCAATGATTTGCAAAGTATGTATATTTTAAGGTGAATATCAACCAAATGCGAATGTTGATGGACCAGAAAAGAAAATGTCCAAAGGGATAACTTACGATGAGTTACGACAGAAAAACAGAGATAGTTATCGACCAGGGCAAATAAAACTAATAAGACAAAGAGTACAACGGTAAATAGTGTTATGCAATAATATTCCTTGTATCATAGATTAACGCATAAATTATATTTTATAGATCAGTCGACTCAAGTGAAAATCAGTCCTCGCAAAGCCAAGACTTTAAATCAGGTTTCAACGAAGAATCTGATCTTCTCCCTTTAACGAGTGATACTGGGAAAAACAAAACCAAATACGGAGACATATGGGATTGAATGAATGAAAATAGCGGAAACATTTGTTTCTTCTGTATATGTGCATGCGACTACTATAGAAAAATATTTAAGTAACACTTAATTTGTTAATTGTGAATTATCATGAAATGTGAATATTATGTAGATAATTAATAGTCTGGTTTATATACAAAATATTGCTAATTTCGGTTTTTTTTTCTTTTCTGCTCTTGACAATTATAATGACGAATTGTTTTCATACTCAATTTCCCAATTATATAAAATGCAAATGATTGAATATACATCTATATGCAAATCTAAATACCATTTTTCCATAAGAGCAGTTTTTCTATGACGTACGATTCAACGCTATGAGCGTAATTAGATGACTGTTCTCTATTAATTATGCCGTCATCATATCTTCGCCTTGACATACCCAGAACTTTGATTCTCTGTCATAAGAGAATTGCCGACGAGTTCGTTCCCTGTAGTTAACATAAGTTTAGCGACAATCGGCTTACAGTATTCTTTTAGCAACGCAACCCTCAACGCATTTGCATTTAGTACTATGCATACGTTGATTCATATTCTAGTCAGAGTGAACTCATCTCGATGATTTAACGCGATTTAAAAATCTTTCTACGAGTACACCTAGTCTCGGAAATCATTTGAAATCGTTCCTTTACTAAGATCGCCTATTAAAGATACAAATAAACCTTATTTCGAATTGATTAAATCAAAATATCGATATTTACTACTAAAGTCAGTAGTTTCGTCTGTTAAAATTTACTTTTTCTTCCCGTGATGTTCGTAAATAATAGGGGAAGAGGAAAAAAGAGAAAGAGAAAGATGCTCTTAGCATTTGAGAGACATACAAAATGGCGGACATTTTTCTATTTGTTTAAGTGGTAGAAATAGCGCATGATCGTGATCGTTGATGCATAGGCATGCTGCTGGAACTGATGACGGATAGTTAGAGGGATATAATGAACCGACACTCAGAAACTATACTTTACTATTCGTTCAAACACACGTAGCGCGCATGATTTTTCTTCGTGCTAGCCATTATCTTCATTTGCATTCGATCTTGCGTCTTTTTTCATTTTTAATGCTTAGTCTATTGATCAAAGGTATTCGAGTAAATCAACGTTGTTTGAAATATTTCAAAGAATTAATATAAATAATCAAATATAAGATTTATATACACGTATCTGTATAGCATTTATCTCGAGCATTAAATTGTCGAGACGATTTGTAAAAATCGTTCTTTGTATTTTATAAATATAAAATTCATTATTAATATGTTTTATAGAATAAACCTTTTTTCTTTTATTACGATTTTTATTTTATGAAAAAACGGATAGAAAAAATGAGGAAGTTCGCGTTGACGTTTATGATCATCGTTTCGTAACTTTTGAAACGCTTGTTAGAAAAACAGTGTTTGTATATTCACATATAGCTTAGAAATTGTATGAGTAATCAATAATAGTAAAATTTGATCGAACTAAAGAAAAGTTTGCACATAGGTATTATGTTTTTAGGAGGGCGTTTAACGTAGAGTTACACAGCTTTTTCCCTGCTATTACATCGCGAGTAGCACGCGACGTTAGAGAGAAGAACGTAGCGAGGGACGCGGGACGCAGCATTTGGACGCAAAGCCAGCCATTGGCTATCCGAACCGACCAATGGGCGACTACTTCCATTCATAAGTTGCGAGCCTTCCGTAGTTGTAGTGGGGGATTCTCCTTTTTATCAGACTTAAAAATACGATGTTACAGAGTCACTTTTGATAGGAACAAGGAAGATAAAGAATTAAGCTTTAGGAGAGAAGAAGAAGAGAGAGAGAGAGAGAGAGAGAGAGAGAGAGAGAGAGAGAGAGAGAGAACATCTTTCTTCCAAATCATTTCTCTTTTCTCGCGGTTTTTCTTTTTCTACCCTCGACTAATTGCAAAAAGAAACTTTGTTTTTTTTTGTCCAAATAATATAATTTATTTGTCATTTATTACTTGCTATTTAGGAAATAAGTATCTATCGATGACACACTATAACACATTCTTTCATTTTCTTGCACGAAAATATGTAAATAAGTTTTCCACATAATACCGAGGCAGATAAAGAGGTTAATTGTCAAGAATGATAATTTGAAGATAATTAGGGTAAAGCGAGCCGCGCGAACGTGTTGGTTTGGTCGCGTAAAAGAGGGACCCTTTCGGCGTGTTGCTACGATTCACGTGTTTATTTTAAATGATCACGTGTAGAAAGGGGAGTCACGCAGGTGCAGGTCATGTGAAATATTTGCACTTTGTCGTAATTTGCGTAACCCGATGCATATATAATAAATCCGTGGTGGTAAAGCGCCAGGATAGAAAATCGTTTCACAATCTAAAGAGAAAGGGAATCTCTGGGAATGTGGGAGGGGAGACGCGCTCGCGGAGATGTTTGCGGCTGCACAACGTTAACAAGAGAACTAACTACGCACACATATACATTTCAGTATATACTTGCACATATATATGTAAATATATAATATAGGTATTAGTTGGTTTTTGAAGTAAAACGAAATAATTTACGAGAACAAGTCGAAACGAAGTACTCGTGTTACAAGTTGTTCTCGCTATAATCATGATACGTACATTTGCATATTTTTAAATGATGAAGTCAAATATAGACTAACAATAAGCATCGCAATGGTGTTATTCCATTTTTCTTTTCTTTTTTTATTGAAACGATATTCTGATTATATATTAGGCATTTTTTATTCAATTTTCAAATCATTAATATATTTTCTAATTCGTGTTTCGGATTGTAATTAATCAAACTTTTTTATAAAATGTTCTACATTTCGATAAAAAATAAACGACAAAGGTACCCTTTCTTTATTTTGTTTGTTTTTTTTTCCATTCCAACGTAAGAAGATTTGAAAGATGACCCATATTTTCTGTGAGCGATCGATTCGCCGTCATATCGAATAAAATTGGATCTCGACTAATCTGCTATCTACACACACACAGATATCGTGATAGAAAAATACTTACGGTTATTTACGATCTAACTTATACAAAGCGAGTAATTCGTTAAAAGTAGATATCTTACTTATCGCTATCTTTGCTTCTCTTTTAATAAGTCCTCGCGTAAATACCTAATACATATATTGCACTCATTATTTTCTACGCATAACTATTTTTATTTAAACGGACATATATATCTTTGTCGATCATTCTTCTATATCTACATAATATTATTTTATTGTAAGCTAGCTTTACTGAATTCTTAATAAAGTCTTTCTTCGAATATTACGACTTTACCCACTTCGACGCATCTAAACCATACGGAATGCATTTCGATCGATTTTCCATCTCGTTGAATCGCGATCGGATTGGAAGAGAAAGTGGGGTGAATAAAGGATTATGGAATAGAATAGAGAAGGGAGGTGGGAGGGAGTGAGTAAGACAAAGAGGCGGTAAAGGAGAGGAAGGGATGATAAAAATGTGGCAAAGATCGGTGGTAGGATCCTCTCAATCGATCTCATCAATAATCATGCTTTCGAGGAGATACCGTGCTGCCTTCTTCGTTGTACGACCCATTCAAGTGGGGGTGAACGAAGGTGGGGGTACAGTGAGAGGTTCCAACATGCGTACTACACAGAAGTACATACGTATCGACGTAAGGAAAGACAAAATTTGACTTACAAAAAGCTACGTTGACTTTGAAAACTAATGAGGATGTTTTTAACGCGTTTATTCGTAACAACCTTATATGTAATCGAGTTTAAATAGATGAATAATAAGAATGAGGGCCGTTAATGCGATAAGAAAAAAACCATAAAATATAAAGAGAGTTTTATCAATATTTACAAACTCGTGACAAAGAGAGAGAGAGAGAGAGAGAGAGAGAGAGAGAAGATCGAGCGATACTTTTTTTCAATACTAGTTGAAAGAGGGGGAGGGAGGCGTGCTTGATGGCCGCCGCCTAGACTCGGTGCGCCGTTCGGATCGGTCGCGCCCGGGGCGTGAGCCGGTTCACAACGAGAGGGTGGGAGGTAAAAGAGAGCGAGAGCGAGAGCGAGAGAGAGAGAGAGAGCGAGAGAGAGATCGCGAAGAACCCGGTTCAGAGTGGAGGGCTGCGTTCACCGGGCAGTTACTCCGGAACCGTTGCCTTGACGACACGTATATCCACGCATGCGCGTATGCGCGAGAAGTGGGTGCACATTGGAGTCTCGTCATCCTTCTCGTTGTTTCAGAAAAGAGAGAGACTAACAGAAAGACCACGCGAATCAACACTTCTACATTTTTCTTATCCTCCAATGGGAATTGCCAGCGCAAGCATCGTTAACAACTTATACTAGTTGTCTCGCATTATACTTTTCTCTCTCTCTCTCTCTCTCTGTCTCTCTCTCTCTCTCTCTCTCTCTTTCTATTTCTCCTTTTAGTTTCGTTCTCCTGGTTAAGATAGGACACGTTGACATCACTGAAAAACGTCAAGTCGATCTCGTTTCGGAATTCTATTTTATTTTCAAATAGTCCAGAATTCATTATTTCGTCCATATGGCATAATTGTCCCTGGAAATAAGCATCGTCCTCTTACTAATTTTCGTTTTTTGCTCTTTAAGGTCTTAAATGAGTTAAACGTAAACAAAGGAATGTAATGGCAAAGGAGAGAGCAATAGTTGGGAGAGAAGAGTGTTAACGAGAGAAAGCCCTGGAGGAGTCAACGCCTCTAATTTGTCGATCATCCTCGTTATCGTCGTCGTCGTCATAGAACATTATCAAAAGTACGGTTGCTCGGTTGAAGGATGATCGCAACCTTGAAAGAACATTGCTCGTAGCTGGAGATCTTGGTCTCTCTCTTTTTCTTTCTCTCTCTCTCTCTCTCTCTCCGTATAGTGTGGGCAGCAGAGAGGAGCGCGCGTCGAGGTGGTCCGAGCGAGTCGAAGGAGAGAGGCGTGCCCCAGTGCCGTTCGAACGTCCGATGTCTCCGCACGAGGACGCCGCGAATACCAGGAGAGGAAGAGCCGAGAGTACGCGTGCCGTCGCCGAGCACGAGCAGGCATCTTCTTCATCTTCGTTTTCGTTTTGGTCATCGTCGCTGCCGCCGTCGTCGTCGTCGTCGTCGTCGTCGTCGTCGTCGTCGTCGTCGCCGTCGTCGTCGTCGTCGTCGTCGTCGTCGTCGTTGTTGTCGTCGTCGTCGTCGTCGTCGTCGTCGTCGCCGCCGTCGTCGTCGCCGTCGTCGTTAAAGAAACGTTACAGGAAGACATCCTCGTCGACTCGTCGGTCAACCTCAGATGTCTTCTTTTCTTCGTAGCACCACCTGCCGCTCTGTGCTTTCGCGTGGTTGCATCGACAGCGGCAGGTCCTCTTATCGACTCTCTCCTTTCCTTCCTCTTCCCATCCTTCTTCGATATTTTCTTATCCAGCTCGAAACGGACTCTCTTTTCTCGAAGAAAGTTTCGAAGAGACTTGTCGCTCGGTGGTCTTGCTCCACCGCGATCATGTTTACCGATAAAAAAAGAAGGAAAATTATTCGGCCCGCTGCTTTACGGAAAAGTCTAATCCCTTCGCGGAGTTTTCATCGAATTGTTCGCGAGTGGCAAACTGCTTGAAATAAAGTAAAAACAAAACGGGTGAAAAGAGAGAGGGGAGAGGGCAGAAGAAATAGATCAAATCCAAAGACGGTTTTGTATACCGGTTGAAAGTTACAACCCAAAGTATTAGAGTTCGCGGACTATAGTATATGATTGATGGTGAGGATATAGGAGGAATAAGTTGGTGTGAAAAGTAAAATAAAAAGAAGAAGAAGAAGAAGAAGAAGAAGAAGAAGAAGAAGAAGAAGAAGAAGAGAAAGATCGAAGGTGACTAGGTGTTTTTCAGATTGGATGGTTCCGCGAGGGTTAAGCATCGAGAGGTCGACTTGGGAGCAACCAGAGCCGGAACAGCAACGTTTCTACGATTCTCCGCCACCACGGATGGACGTGAGCGTGTGCTGTTTACCCGCCAGTGCCGGCTCGGGGGCCCAGCACTCTCATCCGGCGAGTTTGCCGTCCGGTGGACAGTCGACGATCCAGGCACCTTATCAGTATGCCGATCAGATAGTACCGGATCGGGGTCAACCCGACGGACTCGCGGTACTCGGCTGTACCGGACAGAACAACTGGCAACAGATCTCAAACTCGTCCACCGTCGCGGCTGGTGTCACTGCGACAACCACAGCGTACATCGATTATTCTTGGCTGCAGATGCAGGTGAGCGGCCCATCCAATTTTATTAATACCTTTATCTTTACGTCAAGAGATTTTTCATAAATTTCCTTAGAAGAGTTATCTAATTTGAAGTTTAAGAGAGAAATTAATGCAACTCGCGTGATCCGATCAAAACTAATTTACATTTTTAGGGGTTGTCTATTTGAGTCAAGTCTCGTTTCGTTAATTATCAAGTTATAATTGCGTGCAGAGGTAAAAAACATTAAATTCTAATATTAGAAAGACATTTTACGGAAGATAGTTTTTTTATTTCGAGCAGGTTATCGGTAGGTTATCAGTAGGTTATCGATTTCTACGAAACGTTAGATCGTAAGATAATAGACTCGAAGTAATAATACCCATTACTATTATCTCAGCTCGAATGACTCTTCTCTCTTTCTCTTCCTCTTTCTCCCCTTGTAGACGTGCCGGCATAAAGCTACGCTGTTGACAGGGTAAATATCCTTTGATACGCCGTCTGTCTGGCACACGCGCCACGTACCTTACGTAGTACCTACGCCTTTCCACCTTACCAACGATCTCTTCTTGGAAAGTACCTTCTCCTTCAGCCTTTCCAAATCTTTTTACAAGCTTTCCTTCTTCGATCGAACTATCATCTCAAAGTAATACGTTTTTTCCCCACTTATTATTTATATACCAACCACATCGTTTTAAAAGATGTCGACAAAATTGCAATCGATCCGATTCTTAACTTATTGTTAAAAAAAAAAAGAAAACGTTTTTTGTCGGATAGTTTTATCAGGCGGAGTCGAAGTTAATCTGTCGTTGCGATAAGAATAACACGGTCGAGTTTACAACGCATTTCAGGATACCTTTAGCGAACACGATAATTGTATTTACGAAATGATGAAATTCTCTGTTGTTATACATCTTGGACAAGATACGAATATATCTTTGTAATTATAGAAGGAATTAAGTTTAATAAGTATTTACAAAGTAATATCCATAGTTTATTATATTTTGTAAGCAATTACGATCATCGATTTTAATTTATGTCTGCGTATTTTTTATTGTATTTCTCTCTATCTTAGAATAAAATTTTGTTCGAGTTACTTAATATCGATATTCTTTCGCCATTTTCTAAAGGTTTCAAATTATCAGAAAATAATCGTACCGATTGTAATTCCTATTAATACGTAGTTAAAACCTTAACGAGCTCAATAATTGTTTCTCGCGAGAGATAATCGATTCGAGACTAATCTTCGAATCGTTAATATTCTCCTAGATCCATTGTACGTATAGATCGGTAATAATAATTAGCCATTAACCCGTAAACGCAATCCGAATGCATTGTGTGACGCGCGTGTAAGATAATAAGCGGACGGAAATCCACGATTATTGTGCCCGAGGCAGAAAGGGCACCCAAACGCCAAAGGAACACCGGACGAACCATTTCCACGGTTCACCGCCCTTCGTTTCAGAACTGCGTATGATTACCGGTGCCAACGATTATTTTCCTTGCTATAGGGACCATGGGGACGAACGTAATTAGCATTAGATGTGAAACGAGTTGGCAGCTTGGGAATAATACATTGAAAAGTCAAAAGATTTTTTCCTGTCCAAGGGCCTATCCAAGGAAAACGAACACGATCCTTCGTCCAAATTTTTTGTCGTCTTAAGCTGACGAATCATAATTGCGACAACGATTTATTTATTTTATCGAATTATCGCGTTTTTCATATTTTCTTTCCTTTTCGATTGTATTTGAAACAAAATAAAACATTAAATAAAATACATCATTAAGATTTCAAACAATCTTGTCATATCCCTCGGATGCAAAACGATTGTTTGTCGTTGTATCGTGTTGCTCGTTGAGCGATCGAACGCGAGATTCAAGGCATTCTAGTGTTTTTCTTAAAAAAACAAGAAGAAAAAAAAGGAAAAACCAACACGGCAAATGGACGTCGATAAGGATTCAAAGTTTATTGACGCATAAATTACGCGTTATCTCGGAACGAACAAATTGCGATCTCGGTTTGATATTGTGTAGGTAAACAAGTGCGCTAGTGCATGTACGTTCGTCGACGTGCATGCATGTGAAACGTGAGAAACTGTAACGGTGTGATATCATTGCGTACGCATGTATAAATGGTAATGCACCGGTCCGATCATTTGAATCATCCGATTACATTTTACGCTACCGTAGCAACGTGATCGTCGTTAATAAACTGTATCTTGTCTTTTTCAACGAGAAGGATAATCGATGTAGGAAGCACTCAATCTCGATCTCTCGAGGATTGAAGTCATCGTTGAGCAGAGTTTTCATCGTAAATCCAAATTATAAATCAATAAGCACAAAATAGTAAAGAGAAGCAAGAAAGAAAAATGTCTGAAGTGCATCTACGTGTTTATCTCGTCCTCGTTTCGCAAGCGCGCTATATTTTATTCATTTTTATTTTACAATTAGATTCGAGAATCCACGCCTATTTCCATACATAATATACTTGTTTAAGTTGTCTTATGTTACTTACGGTATTTTAATGTTTTTTCTATAAGTCGCGTATTTATTTGCGCAAATCCGTTTAAATGAGTATTTGTAACCGATACGAATAATATTATTCATCGGACGATTCTAAATTATTTGATTGCCATATATTTGACACGTACAATATATTATAGTTTCTGCCTAAAATAGATGTATGCTAGATAAAATCGTCATTTTTGCAATAAGAATGTACGTAACGTTCTTTTATAATTGAACATAGATATTTCTCTGATATTGTCTAGATTCTCTCCCGAGTTATAAAGAGATTAAAATAACGTTATCATAAGCGCACGCGTCGCGAATGATTAAAATTGATCGCGACGGATATTTCGTTGCAACAGTCTACGCGTTGTTTGAACGCGTCGATTACTGTAAGGCGATTACTGTAAGGCGATTACTGTAAGGCGATTGCCACTTATTATGGTATATTTTACAAAATTTCTTTCAATTATTTCGGACGGTATGTTACTTGCGATATTTTATTTTCTTATTTTCATTTGTACAGGCATCGCAGAGTATTTACGCAAAATCGCAAAGAATCACCAACGTTTAAAATATTTCTTGAAAACCGTCAATAGAATATCTTATTTATATATTAACGCGTTTCAAGTAGTTAGATAAAAGCAAGACAATGAAATGCGCGTATGGAATCCTCTAGCTACATATATTTATGTAATATTTTTGTTTAAGTTTATGATAGAAGAAACGTCGATGTCATCTCAATAATAGATTTTGATAAGAATTAAAATAGAAAAATAAGTTATCTAAACTTATTACTTAAACTAGCTTATCTGTTAATTTGTTCTATTTCCGTTGAACATCTAAGATTCGAGATCGAGGAAAAATACTTTGGAAGAGACTAAGTATCGATTCGAAGATCGAGCCAAAGGTGCGCGCGTATGCGCACGCGACTCGTATTACCTGGGATAGATCGAGTCGGCGCACTCGCAGTGACTCACGTCGAATCGTGGACGAGTGGGTGTGCAGTTACTTACGTTGCATACGTTCAATGTACAGGGCCGCATTGGATATCAACAATAGGGCTCTTGTGTTTGAAAAGAAAATAAACGACGACGACGCGAGAGAAAGAGACGAAAGCAAAGAAAGTCTCGTTGCTTTCTCTCAATTTTTACGTTTCACTCTCCTCCGTTCGACGGTTAACCGGAGAATCTTACATGGTCGTTAACGGAGCTAACGAGACACGTTGGCCTTAAAAATAAAGCTGGAATGTTTAACGACCATTTAAATTTGCCGCCATCGCGATCGTTGGCCACGTAAAACATAGTCGTCCCGTCCATACAACATTTTTCTAAGAGATTGAACGTTCATCTAAACTAAATCCCTTTTTTGCGCAAGTTTCAAGATTTATCCGGCTATGCGAAACTGCATACGTAGTGCACTTGCGACATACTCGTAAAGAACGGTGCGCGCGTTGCCGTGGCTATCTATTCCTGTGTTTAAACGTATAGGTGGTACCTACGCATAATCGCGAAGGAAATCTAACGTTTAGCGATATTCGCGCAGAGTAACGCCTCGTAGAATCGACGCCGACGCGTAGGCAAAATCCTCTTTGATCGTTCCCTCGATTCGTTTTTACGGGATTTTCCTTTTTGCTATCGAGTGGAGGAGTGGGGGGGGGGGTGGCGGCTGGCTCCTTCCTGCGTTTGTATCAAGAGAAATAACCAATGGAAATTGAGATGTCGGCAATAAAAGAGGAGAGTGAGTGAAAAAGAGGACGAGAATCCATAAAACGAATCTTTTTTTTTTCATAATAACAAACTAGAAAGGGAAGAGGAAAAGAAAAAGTTACAATAGCTCGGTGGTAAATAACGATTTAATATTTACGACGAACAGTCATAATACTTGTAGAGTTTCTTTCGATCTCTCTGTTTTATCTATTTCCTTTTTAAACAAGTACGCAAGTCTAAGAAGGAATAAGAAGAAATAGAGATAGGAATACCGACGCAACGGCGCTTTATTTTTTCTAATATTTATCAAATGTTTAGTAGTTTATTATTCAATATGCATTCTTTCGATTTGTACAGATAATGAAAAAGATCGACGTCATATGCGCAACGATTGAATCCAATGTGGCGCATTAAAATGCATAAACACCTTCCTATGTATAATATACATATATATTAGATAGGTATTTGCATAAGTCATAATGCATAACGCGATACTTTTTGTTTTTCTCGTGCTTTTTTTTTCTATTAATCGTCGTTGATATATATAAATATTAGTAAAGTGTGCATTTAGAGCAGCAATTAATATAATCATTTTAGTCATTTATAATGATCTTAGATGTTAGGTAAGTTTGTTTTTTTTTTACTTTGATAAATAAATAAAAAGTATTAAAATTGCTTACACTTCGTAAGTAATACATTCGTATAATATATTGTCGCATCTAGATCGATAAATCATAGAAGAAAATACGTGTGGGAGTAATGAAGAGGAAAACAAAGGCCAGAAAAAATTGTTAAAAAAAGGGACAATC